TATTATTCCAATCTATAATCCATGTTTGATGAGTGTTTAAAAGGATAAAACGCGTTGTTTTTTTGTGTGTGTTTTTTTTGTGACGTAGCGTCAGTGCAATGCCCTCTCCTCCCTTCAGGGGGCGCAAGTGTCTTCTCAGTGCGGTCCTGAAAATGCTGTGCAGCGCACGTGATGTTAAAGATTAAAAGACTTCGAAATATAATAGCTGCTCTAAAAATCATTAGAGGAAGAAATGAGAATAAAAGAAGAATTTACAAAATGACTGAAATCTGCATTGACAAACGAAAACAAGGTTCACATTTCAGAACATGTTTGTATGTTTTGCTTGTTTGTACAGATCTAAACAGTGTTATCAGGTTTTATGCAGAATAAGACAGGAAATTTTGTTGTTTGTGGAGGAAATTATGGTACTTCAAAAACAGTTTATCAGTAGTATCAGTTCAAATGTAGTAGTATCAATAGAAGTAAAATTGTGATTTCAACCAAAACAATCAACCAAAAAGTTAATTTCCACCACTGTTTGCTGACGTGTTGCACCTCACTAACTGTATATTTGTATATTTACAAATGTATAACAATGCAAACTGTAAACAAACACATTTCAAACTGTAAACAAACACATTTCAAACTGTAAACAAACACATTTCAAACTGTAAACAAACACATTTCAAACTGTAAACAAACACATTTCAAACTGTAAACAAACACACTTCAAACTGTAAACAAACACACTTCAAACTGTAAACACACACACTTCAAACTGTAAACACACACACTTCAAACTGTAAACACACACACTTCAAACTGTAAACACACACACTGCAAACTGTAAAAACACTTTTTTCTATTGTCCTTGTTCTTTGTGCCAATCATTATAACAGTCCCTAAACATTTCTTCTTCCACTGAGTCCACCGCGGACACATCGCTCTCCGGTTCCGACAGCTCCTGGTCCGAGGTGTCACTCAGCCTTCTAGTACATATTTCCGCAGCTTCCAAGGCTGAAAACCGCGTCTTCTCTGTTCGTTTAGCCATAACTTCGAAACAAAGGCAAAGCACCAACATGCACGGAGTATGTACTGGAGTATGTACTGTACTATACTGTACTGATGTACTGTGTACAGTAAACACCTCAAACTGTATATATAAACTCTTTTTTTGACTGCCCATTGGCTGTTAGGTAAAGCGTCACTAGTGCGTAACGCGTAACCATTGGCTGCGTAAAAGACGCACGCTTTACGCACACAGTCCCTTTGTGTTTGCGCCTGCGGTTACGCATGATACAGGCGGCGCAGGTATACAGAAAACCATGGCTTGTGATATGTCATTGTGTTCATTGGCTCGTTGACTGTAAGGGAAAATATCACTCCGCGCCTGTAATCAAGTTTGGGTGATTGTGCACGAGGGGAAGTGGGGAGTAAACTTTCTGAGTTCTGTACCACTGATTGGCGGTGTGGGGCTTTAGTAACCGAAAACTTGCACTCTATTGGCTGACCAAAGTGCCAATTAAATGCTAACTCTTTCGTTTAGCATAGACAGTAGCGTTATCGTGCTCAGTAAATATCTTAGCCCTGAAATCGCCAGAAGAAATGCAAAAAAAAGTGACGGATCACTTTTCACGTTTGGAATACTTTGGAATACTTTCCGGCATAGAGGAACTAATTCATTTTGTGGACATATTTTCTTCACTGGATTATATTCTCTGGACCTGTACGGACCAAATGAGACCAACTTTCTGGGGATATGTGGATGTTTGACAGAATGAGAGCCCTCAAAAGGTAAGAACAGTCCAAATCCTTTGCACGTGCTTTTCTGTAAAACAGCTCCGTACATGTGTCTCTCTGCACTCAGAAAGCGCGAGCAGACACACAGTCAGCAACGTATCGAAGCACAAATGCGTATTTAACGATGATTTGTAGAAGAAATTCCACGCTTTCCGTTGCGTTCGGGACAAGTGTGAGGCCTTGTGCACAGTGTACAAAGCGGCACATATGTTACGGTGTCCAGTGGGAAGAAGAAATGTTTAGGGACTGTTATAATGATTGGCACAAAGAACAAGGACAATAGAAAAAAGTGTTTTTACAGTTTGCAGTGTGTTTGTTTACAGTTTGCAGTGTGTGTGTTTACAGTTTGAAGTGTGTTTGTTTACAGTTTGAAGTGTGTTTGTTTACAGTTTGAAGTGTGTTTGTTTACAGTTTGAAATGTGTTTGCATGTTGAGCAACACCACAGCCATCGCTGAGGCCTGGGCTCGACTGGACCACAAGTTTGACCTGATGTACGCCAAGAGGGCCTTCGTGCACTGGTACGTGGGCGAGGGCATGGAGGAGGGAGAGTTCTCCGAGGCCAGAGAGGACATGGCTGCTCTGGAGAAGGATTATGAAGAGGTGGGTTTGGACAGCGTCGATGGAGAAGAAGAGGGAGAAGAAAATTAAATAGCTGTTGCAAAGTTTTGTATTGTATTGTTGTTAACTGGTTTTAATTAAAAGTTTGATTGCATTTTAAAAGCTCTTTTGTAACACAAATGCAAATGTTATAAATAAATACATATTATTATTAGGCCAATAGTGTTTAATTGAGGTAACTCACTTTAACTTTCACTTATTTAACCTCTGCGTAACAGAGTATGAATTCCTGGGGTTCCATGTTTTTCATCTGTTTAATAAGAACTGAACCAAACAACTCTTCAATATTTCAGTCAGTGTTGGGCATGGAAATATAATAAGATCCATGGTGTTGGGTTTCTAAGAGGTGGGTTTGGACAGCGTCGATGGAGAAGAAGAGGGAGAAGAAAATTAAATAGCTGTTGCAAAGTTTTGTATTGTTGTTAACTGGTTTTAATTAAAAGTTTGAGAAGAGGAGGGAGAAGAATATTAAACACAATGAAATTTGACTTTATGCAAAATGTAGCTAACTAAAGTATTTCCCTTTAGCTGTTGCAAAGTGGCAAATGGAGCTATTGTTTCAAAACATAAACATCTTACATATTTCTTATTAAATACATGCATTTGTAATTAATAAAATACATAATTTTATACACTCTGACGTTGGGACAGGTTGTGTGTCGTTCAGTGAGGGTGAATATTCTGCACAGATTCCACTGTCACCTGTGGAAGTGTCAGATCTTGTGCGTGTTGTAAGTTTCATTCTGGTGGTTTTGTAGCGCTCACAGCAGCAAGAGCCGAGATGGATTCTCAAAAATCATAATTTTCTTCATAAATTCAACATGCTGCACAAAGTGACTGTAATGTTTGAGCATTTGTGGAGCTTTGTGATTTTCTTTACTGGTTTTAATCAAAAGTTTGATTGCATTTTAAAAGCTCTTTTGTAACGCAAATGTTATAAATAAATGAATAAATACATATATTATTATTAGGCCAATAGTGTTTAATTGAGGTAACTCACTTTAACTTTTCACTTATTTAACCTATTTCAGTCAGTGTTGGGCATGGAAATATAATAAGATCCATGGTGTTGGGTTTCTAAGTGTGCACATGCGTGTAGCCCATGTGGTCTTATTGTTTTGTTAATTTCACCAAAATCCTGTTTTATTTCTTTATGGGTTTGTGTCTTAGATTATTTTGACTGGTTATACCAGATGCTTTTATTTTGGTGGTGCCACTCCTTTCTGTGGAGACGCGCCTCGCCCCCTCATTTGCTCTGAAGAGAGTGAGGGAGGTAAGCAGCAGATTTGTTCCTCTGATTTATATATAAAATTTTTGTTTTTGTTAACTTTATTTGGACATTGTGGTTTATAAGGCCTTTGCCATTGTTCCTGTTTGTTAAATGTGTTTCAAGTATTGTTTTTTTATTCAAATACAGCACCTCAAAAAGTACTACTAGCATGTAAGTTTAAGCTAGCAAGCGCGGTCTCATGTGTCTGTTCCACCCTTTATTTCTCTGCAGATGTGTGTGTGTGTGGAGCTCTGACATCTGAGGCTGTGTCTTGATTTTTTTTTGTGTGTTTCACACAGGTATGTGAGTGTTGTATTGTTATTATTGTTATATTATCACTAATACTGAATGTTATTTTTAGTTCTCCGAGGCCAGAGAGGACATGGCTGCTCTGGAGAAGGATTATGAAGAGGTGGGTTTGGACAGCGTCGATGGAGAAGAAGAGGGAGAAGAAAATTAAATAGCTGTTGCAAAGTTTTGTATTGTATTGTTGTTAACTGGTTTTAATTAAAAGTTTGATTGCATTTTAAAAGCTCTTTTGTAACGCAAATGTTATAAATAAATGAATAAATACATATTATTATTAGGCCAATAGTGTTTAATTGAGGTAACTCACTTTAACTTTTCACTTATTTAACCTATTTCAGTCAGTGTTGGGCATGGAAATATAATAAGATCCATGGTGTTGGGTTTCTAAGTGTGCACATGCGTGTAGCCCATGTGGTCTTATTGTTTTGTTAATTTCACCAAAATCCTGTTTTATTTCTTTATGGGTTTGTGTCTTAGATTATTTTGACTGGTTATACCAGATGCTTTTATTTTGGTGGTGCCACTCCTTTCTGTGGAGACGCGCCTCGCCCCCTCATTTGCTCTGAAGAGAGTGAGGGAGGTAAGCAGCAGATTTGTTCCTCTGATTTATATATAAAATTTTTGTTTTTGTTAACTTTATTTGGACATTGTGGTTTATAAGGCCTTTGCCATTGTTCCTGTTTGTTAAATGTGTTTCAAGTATTGTTTTTTTATTCAAATACAGCACCTCAAAAAGTACTACTAGCATGTAAGTTTAAGCTAGCAAGCGCGGTCTCATGTGTCTGTTCCACCCTTTATTTCTCTGCAGATGTGTGTGTGGAGCTCTGACATCTGAGGCTGTGTCTTGATTTTTTTTTGTGTGTTTCACACAGGTATGTGAGTGTTGTATTGTTATTATTGTTATATTATCACTAATACTGAATGTTATTTTTTCCTATTTATTGCAAGTGGTAAAAATTATTATGACACCTGTTATTTTTGCTCTGAAGAGAGTGAGGGAGATGTGTGTGTGGAGCTCTGACATCTGAGGCTGTGTCTTGATTTTTTGTGTGTGTTTCACACAGGTATTAAATCCTCTCCTGAATGTCAAACCCCCGTGTGCAGCTCATTTCACCCACATAACACAACGCAGATAATCGGACGGTTCAAGCACCCCGGTTACATGCGCAATGGTGTCCCTCTACGGCTCCAGTTTAACGCATGCGCACTCCCCTCTCCTCCTGCACCTGCTCCCTCCCTGCGTCCACATGCGTCTCTTGTGCGTCGTGAGCGTCTCTCCGCTGAAGCTCCCTGTTTCCCGGACTCCTCGGTGTTTCTTCCCGGTCTTGGAGCACCATGGCGGTCAGCGGGTTCCAGAAGCTCACCGTGGCTGCGGTGGTGGCGTTGTGTGCGGCTCTGATCCTGCCAAAGATGCTGCTGCGGAGAGAGCCCTCGGAGGAACAAGGTACGGGCCACTGATCATTGTTAGTCCTGGTCTAAACCACTTTTAGACCTGGTTTAGACCGGGTTTAGTCCTGATTTGGGTTAGACCTGGTTTAGACCGAGATTATAGAGTTCTGCTAAGGAGAGCCGATATACCCGGGTTGAGACCTGCTTTAGACCTGGTGTAGTTCTGGTTTACACTGGGTTTAGGGGGTCTGTAAGGAGAAGGATCATGGGTCGCCATAATCTATATTATTCCAATCTATAATCCATGTTTGATGAGTGTTTAAAAGGATAAAACGCGTTGTTTTTTTGTGTGTGTTTTTTTTGTGACGTAGCGTCAGTGCAATGCCCTCTCCTCCCTTCAGGGGGCGCAAGTGTCTTCTCAGTGCGGTCCTGAAAATGCTGTGCAGCGCACGTGATGTTAAAGATTAAAAGACTTCGAAACATAATAGCTGCTCTAAAAATCATTAGAGGAAGAAATGAGAATAAAAGAAGAATTTACAAAATGACTGAAATCTGCATTGACAAACGAAAACAAGGTTCACATTTCAGAACATGTTTGTATGTTTTGCTTGTTTGTACAGATCTAAACAGTGTTATCAGGTTTTATGCAGAATAAGACAGGAAATTTTGTTGTTTGTGGAGGAAATTATGGTACTTCAAAAACAGTTTATCAGTAGTATCAGTTCAAATGTAGTAGTATCAATAGAAGTAAAATTGTGATTTCAACCAAAACAATCAACCAAAAAAGTTAATTTCCACCACTGTTTGCTGACGTGTTGCACCTCACTAACTGTATATTTGTATATTTACAAATGTATAACAATGCAAACTGTAAACAAACACATTTCAAACTGTAAACAAACACATTTCAAACTGTAAACAAACACATTTCAAACTGTAAACAAACACACATTTCAACTGTAAACAAACACATTTCAAACTGTAAACAAACACACTTCAAACAAAACTGTAAACAACACACTTCAAACTGTAAACACACACACTTCAAACTGTAAACACACACACTTCAAACTGTAAACACACACACTGCAAACTGTAAACACACACACTGCAAACTGTAAAAACACTTTTTTCTATTGTCCTTGTTCTTTGTGCCAATCATTATAACAGTCCCTAAACATTTCTTCTTCCACTGAGTCCACCGCGGACACATCGCTCTCCGGTTCCGACAGCTCCTGGTCCGAGGTGTCACTCAGCCTTCTAGTACATATTTCCGCAGCTTCCAAGGCTGAAAACCGCGTCTTCTCTGTTCGTTTAGCCATAACTTCGAAACAAAGGCAAAGCACCAACATGCACGGAGTATGTACTGGAGTATGTACTGTACTATACTGTACTGATGTACTGTGTACAGTAAACACCTCAAACTGTATATATAAACTCTTTTTTTGACTGCCCATTGGCTATTAGGTAAAGCGTCACTAGTGCGTAACGCGTAACCATTGGCTGCGTAAAAGACGCACGCTTTACGCACACAGTCCCTTTTGTGTTTGCGCCTGCGGTTACGCATGATACAGGCGGCGCAGGTATACAGAAAACCATGGCTTGTGATATGTCATTGTGTTCATTGGCTCGTTGACTGTAAGGGAAAATATCACTCCACGCCTGTAATTCAAGTTTGGGTGATTGTGCACCTGTGGGAAGTGTCAGATCTTGTGCGTGTTGTAAGTTTCATTCTGGTGGTTTTGTAACAAATGCAACGGCAAAGAGCCGAGATGGATTCTCAAAAATCATAATTTTCTTCATAAATTCAACATGCTGCACAAAGTGACTGTAAATGTTTGAGCAGTTTGTGGAGCTTTGTGACAGTTTTCTTTGACATGGTTTTTACATCAAAAGTTTGATTGGCATTTTAAAAGCTCTTTTGTAACGCAAATGCTTATAAATAAATGAATAAATACATATTATTATTAGGCCAATAGTGTTTTAATTGAGGTAACTCACTTTAACTTTTCACTTATTTAACCTATTTCAGTCAGTGTTGGCATGGAAATATAATAAGATCCATGGTGTTGGGTTTCTAAGTGTGCACAATGCGTGTAGCCCATGTGGTCTTATTGTTTGTTAATTTCACCAAAATCCTGTTTTATTTCTTTATGGGTTTGTGTCTTAGATTATTTTGACTGGTTATACCAGATGCTTTTATTTTGGTGGTGCCACTCCTTTCTGTGGAGACGCGCCTCGCCCCCTCATTTGCTCTGAAGAGAGTGAGGGAGGTAAGCAGCAGATTTGTTCCTCTGATTTATATATAAAATTTTTGTTTTTTGTTAACTTTATTTGGACATTGTGGTTTATAAGGCCTTTGCCATTGTTCCTGTTTGTTAAATGTGTTTCAAGTATTGTTTTTTTATTCAAATACAGCACCTCAAAAAGTACTACTAGCATGTAAGTTTAAGCTAGCAAGCGCGGTCTCATGTGTCTGTTCCACCCTTTATTTCTCTGCAGATGTGTGTGTGGAGCTCTGACATCTGAGGCTGTGTCTTGATTTTTTTTTGTGTGTTTCACACAGGTATGTGAGTGTTGTATTGTTATTATTGTTATATTATCACTAATACTGAATGTTATTTTTAGTTCTCCGAGGCCAGAGAGGACATGGCTGCTCTGGAGAAGGATTATGAAGAGGTGGGTTTGGACAGCGTCGATGGAGAAGAAGAGGGAGAAGAAAATTAAATAGCTGTTGCAAAGTTTTGTATTGTATTGTTGTTAACTGGTTTTAATCAAAAGTTTGATTGCATTTTAAAAGCTCTTTTGTAACGCAAATGTTATAAATAAATGAATAAATACATATTATTATTAGGCCAATAGTGTTTAATTGAGGTAACTCACTTTAACTTTTCACTTATTTAACCTATTTCAGTCAGTGTTGGGCATGGAAATATAATAAGATCCATGGTGTTGGGTTTCTAAGTGTGCACATGCGTGTAGCCCATGTGGTCTTATTGTTTTGTTAATTTCACCAAAATCCTGTTTTATTTCTTTATGGGTTTGTGTCTTAGATTATTTTGACTGGTTATACCAGATGCTTTTATTTTGGTGGTGCCACTCCTTTCTGTGGAGACGCGCCTCGCCCCCTCATTTGCTCTGAAGAGAGTGAGGGAGGTAAGCAGCAGATTTGTTCCTCTGATTTATATATAAAATTTTTGTTTTTGTTAACTTTATTTGGACATTGTGGTTTATAAGGCCTTTGCCATTGTTCCTGTTTGTTAAATGTGTTTCAAGTATTGTTTTTTTATTCAAATACAGCACCTCAAAAAGTACTACTAGCATGTAAGTTTAAGCTAGCAAGCGCGGTCTCATGTGTCTGTTCCACCCTTTATTTCTCTGCAGATGTGTGTGTGGAGCTCTGACATCTGAGGCTGTGTCTTGATTTTTTTTTTGTGTGTTTCACACAGGTATGTGAGTGTTGTATTGTTATTATTGTTATATTATCACTAATACTGAATGTTATTTTTTCCTATTTATTGCAAGTGGTAAAAATTATTATGACACCTGTTATTTTTTTGCTCTGAAGAGAGTGAGGGAGATGTGTGTGTGGAGCTCTGACATCTGAGGCTGTGTCTTGATTTTTTTGTGTGTGTTTCACACAGGTATTAAATCCTCTCCTGAATGTCAAACCCCCGTGTGCAGCTCATTTCACCCACATAACACAACGCAGATAATCGGACGGTTCAAGCACCCCGGTTACATGCGCAATGGTGTCCCTCTACGGCTCCAGTTTAACGCATGCGCACTCCCCTCTCCTCCTGCACCTGCTCCCTCCCTGCGTCCACATGCGTCTCTTGTGCGTCGTGAGCGTCTCTCCGCTGAAGCTCCCTGTTTCCCGGACTCCTCGGTGTTTCTTCCCGGTCTTGGAGCACCATGGCGGTCAGCGGGTTCCAGAAGCTCACCGTGGCTGCGGTGGTGGCGTTGTGTGCGGCTCTGATCCTGCCAAAGATGCTGCTGCGGAGAGAGCCCTCGGAGGAACAAGGTACGGGCCACTGATCATTGTTAGTCCTGGTCTAAACCACTTTTAGACCTGGTTTAGACCGGGTTTAGTCCTGATTTGGGTTAGACCTGGTTTAGACCGAGATTATAGAGTTCTGCTAAGGAGAGCCGATATACCCGGGTTGAGACCTGCTTTAGACCTGGTGTAGTTCTGGTTTACACTGGGTTTAGGGGGTCTGTAAGGAGAAGGATCATGGGTCGCCATAATCTATATTATTCCAATCTATAATCCATGTTTGATGAGTGTTTAAAAGGATAAAACGCGTTGTTTTTTTTGTGTGTGTTTTTTTTGTGACGTAGCGTCAGTGCAATGCCCTCTCCTCCCTTCAGGGGGCGCAAGTGTCTTCTCAGTGCGGTCCTGAAAATGCTGTGCAGCGCACGTGATGTTAAAGATTAAAAGACTTCGAAACATAATAGCTGCTCTAAAAATCATTAGAGGAAGAAATGAGAATAAAAGAAGAATTTACAAAATGACTGAAATCTGCATTGACAAACGAAAACAAGGTTCACATTTCAGAACATGTTTGTATGTTTTGCTTGTTTGTACAGATCTAAACAGTGTTATCAGGTTTTATGCAGAATAAGACAGGAAATTTTGTTGTTTGTGGAGGAAATTATGGTACTTCAAAAAACAGTTTATCAGTAGTATCAGTTCAAATGTAGTAGTATCAATAGAAGTAAAATTGTGATTTCAACCAAAACAATCAACCAAAAAGTTAATTTCCACCACTGTTTGCTGACGTGTTGCACCTCACTAACTGTATATTTGTATATTTACAAATGTATAACAATGCAAACTGTAAACAAACACATTTCAAACTGTAAACAAACACAATTTCAAACTGTAACAAACACATTCAAACTGTAAACAAACACATTTTCAAACTGTAAACAAACACATTTCAAACTGTAAACAAACACACTTCAAACTGTAAAACAAACACACTTCAAACTGTAAACACACACACTTCAAACTGTAAACACACACACTTCAAACTGTAAACACACACACTGCAAACTGTAAACACACACACACTGCAAACTGTAAAAACACTTTTTTCTATTGTCCTTGTTCTTTGTGCCAATCATTATAAACAGTCCCTAAACATTTCTTCTTCCACTGAGTCCACCGCGGACACATCGCTCTCCGGTTCCGACAGCTCCTGGTCCGAGGTGTCACTCAGCCTTCTAGTACATATTTCCGCAGCTTCCAAGGCTGAAAACCGCGTCTTCTCTGTTCGTTTAGCCATAACTTCGAAACAAAGGCAAAGCACCAACATGCACGGAGTATGTACTGGAGTATGTACTGTACTATACTGTACTGATGTACTGTGTACAGTAAACACCTCAAACTGTATATATAAACTCTTTTTTTGACTGCCCATTGGCTATTAGGTAAAGCGTCACTAGTGCGTAACGCGTAACCATTGGCTGCGTAAAAGACGCACGCTTTACGCACACAGTCCCTTTGTGTTTGCGCCTGCGGTTACGCATGATACAGGCGGCGCAGGTATACAGAAAACCATGGCTTGTGATATGTCATTGTGTTCATTGGCTCGTTGACTGTAAGGGAAAATATCACTCCGCGCCTGTAATCAAGTTTGGGTGATTGTGCACGAGGGGAAGTGGGGAGTAAACTTTCTGAGTTCTGTACCACTGATTGGCAGTGTGGGGCTTTAGTAACCGAAAACTTGCACTCTATTGGCTGACCAAAGTGCCAATTAAATGCTAACTCTTTCGTTTAGCATAGACAGTAGCGTTATCGTGCTCAGTAAATATCTTAGCCCTGAAATCGCCAGAAGAAATGCAAAAAAAAGTGACGGATCACTTTTCACGTTTGGAATACTTTGGAATACTTTCCGGCATAGAGGAACTAATTCATTTTGTGGACATATTTTCTTCACTGGATTATATTCTCTGGACCTGTACGGACCAAATGAGACCAACTTTCTGGGGATATGTGGATGTTTGACAGAATGAGAGCCCTCAAAAGGTAAGAACAGTCCAAATCCTTTGCACGTGCTTTTCTGTAAAACGGCTCCGTACATGTGTCTCTCTGCACTCAGAAAGCGCGAGCAGACACACAGTCAGCAACGTATCGAAGCACAAATGCGTATTTAACGATGATTTGTAGAAGAAATTCCACGCTTTCCGTTGCGTTCGGGACAAGTGTGAGGCCTTGTGCACAGTGTACAAAGCGGCACATATGTTACGGTGTCCAGTGGGAAGAAGAAATGTTTAGGGACTGTTATAATGATTGGCACAAAGAACAAGGACAATAGAAAAAAGTGTTTTTACAGTTTGCAGTGTGTTTTGTTTACAGTTTGCAGTGTGTGTGTTTACAGTTTGAAGTGTGTTTGTTTACAGTTTGAAGTGTGTTTGTTTACAGTTTGAAGTGTGTTTGTTTACAGTTTGAAATGTGTTTGCATGTTGAGCAACACCACAGCCATCGCTGAGGCCTGGGCTCGACTGGACCACAAGTTTGACCTGATGTACGCCAAGAGGGCCTTCGTGCACTGGTACGTGGGCGAGGGCATGGAGGAGGGAGAGTTCTCCGAGGCCAGAGAGGACATGGCTGCTCTGGAGAAGGATTATGAAGAGGTGGGTTTGGACAGCGTCGATGGAGAAGAAGAGGGAGAAGAAAATTAAATAGCTGTTGCAAAGTTTTGTATTGTATTGTTGTTAACTGGTTTTAATTAAAAGTTTGATTGCATTTTAAAAGCTCTTTTGTAACACAAATGCAAATGTTATAAATAAATACATATTATTATTAGGCCAATAGTGTTTAATTGAGGTAACTCACTTTAACTTTCACTTATTTAACCTCTGCGTAACAGAGTATGAATTCCTGGGGTTCCATGTTTTTCATCTGTTTAATAAGAACTGAACCAAACAACTCTTCAATATTTCAGTCAGTGTTGGGCATGGAAATATAATAAGATCCATGGTGTTGGGTTTCTAAGAGGTGGGTTTGGACAGCGTCGATGGAGAAGAAGAGGGAGAAGAAAATTAAATAGCTGTTGCAAAGTTTTGTATTGTTGTTAACTGGTTTTAATTAAAAGTTTGAGAAGAGGAGGGAGAAGAATATTAAACACAATGAAATTTGACTTTATGCAAAATGTAGCTAACTAAAGTATTTCCCTTTAGCTGTTGCAAAGTGGCAAATGGAGCTATTGTTTCAAAACATAAACATCTTACATATTTCTTATTAAATACATGCATTTGTAATTAATAAAATACATAATTTTATACACTCTGACGTTGGGACAGGTTATGTGTCGTTCAGTGAGGGTGAATATTCTG